AATAGCTTCAGCAAGGATGCAGGAAGAAGATCGAAGGCTAGTCTTGAAGTTATATACTCTGATGTATGTGGACCAATCCAGGTGGATTCGATGGGAGGTAACAAATACTTTGTTACATTCATAGATGATTTCAGTCGAAAGCTATGGACTTACCCGATCAAGAAGAAAAGTGAAGTGATCGAAGTATTTACCAGGTTTAAGTCTATGGTCGAAAGACAAAGTGGTCGAAAGCTCAAAGTTTTGAGAACTGATGGTGGTGGAGAATATGTTTCGAAAGACTTCGACAGATTATGTGAAAAGGAAGGGATTATGCATGAGGTGGTGCCACCCTATACTCCACAACAAAATGGAATTGCAGAAAGGAAAAATCGAACCATCATGAATATGGTGAGAAGTATGTTGAAAGGCAAGAGTTTACCTAAAGAGTTTTGGGGTGAAGCTGTTTCGACTGCAACATACATTTTGAACAGATTTCCTACAAAGAAGCTAGAAGGAATTACTCCAGAAGAATGTTGGTATGGTGTGAAGCCTAGCTTGAGTCATCTGAAGGTATTTGGATCTATTGCACATAGATATGTGCCAGATCAGTTGAGAAGAAAACTTGATGACAAGTCAAGTAAAATGATCCTAGTTGGATATCATTCGACAGGAGGCTACAAGTTGTTCGATCCAGAGAACAAGAAGATTGTGATCAGCAGGGACGTGATCATAGATGAGTTTAAAGAATAGGATTGGACTGCAAATGTCAAGAAAGATTCAGTGGGAATCCTATTCGAAGAGTCAGAAACTCAAGTCGAAAGAGAAGTTCGACAAGAGGAACCAACAGATATACCAAGTACAAGCAGACCTCAAAGAACAAGATGCATGCCTGCAAGATTGCAAGATTGTGTGATTACATCAGATGATGTAATAGATAATGAAGGTGAGCTGGTACATTATGCTTTCTATGCAGATGTCGAACCTGTTAATGCAGCTGAAGCATTAAAAGATTCGAAGTGGGTGAAAGCAATGAACGAAGAAGTAAAGTCTATCGAAGACAACAATACTTGGTCACTTGTCGAATTGCCTCATTGTAAGAAGGCAATTGATGTCAAGTGGGTATACAAAGTGAAAACGAATTCGAAAGGTGAAGTAACTTGACAAAAAGCAAGACTTGTGGCGAAAGGATTTCTACAGAAAGAAGGAATAGACTTCGACGAAGTTTTTGCACCTGTTGCTAGGATCGAAACAATCAGGTTGGTTGTTGGTCTAGCAGAAATAAACAATTGGCACATATGTCAGATGGACGTGAAGTGTGCATTCCTAAATGGACCCTTAGATGAAGAAGTCTATGTTAAACAACCAGTTGGGTTTGTGAAACATAACGAAGAAAGAAAGGTGTACAGGCTACCTAAAGCCCTGTATGGATTGAAACAAGCTCCAAGGGTTTGGAATAAGAAAATTGATAGTTTTCTAAGGGAGAAGGAATTTGTGAAGTGCACAACTGAACATGGAGTATATGTAAGAAGAAGCAAGAGTAAATTGCTTATACTATGTCTCTATGTAGATGATTTGTTGATAACAGGTAGCTGTAAAAGTGAGATCGAAGACTTCAAAGGTGATCTCAGCAAGGAATTCGAAATGTCTGATTTGGGTGAGATTTCATATTTCCTTGGTATCGAATTCTACAAGAGCAGTAGAGGTTTGATGATGCATCAAAGAAGATATGCAGGAGAAATTCTCAAGAGGTTTGAGATGGAAGAATGCAACTCAACTTCGACACCTGCAGAACCAAGACTGCAACTGTCGAAAGATGCAAATAAAGATGATGTTGATCCAACCCAATACAGAAGACTTATTGGATCATTAAGATATCTTTGTCATACAAGGCCTGACTTAGCATACAATGTAGGTATGGTAAGTAGATTTATGCAGAAGCCAAAGGTATCACATCTAGCAGCAGTGAAGAGGATACTAAGGTATCTCAAAGGAACTTTTGATTATGGCATTTTGTTTCCTGCAGTTGATAAAGGAAAAGAATGCAAGTCGAAGTATTCAGAAAGCTAAGAGCCATGATGAACATAGACAGTTTAGACACAATGAATTAGGTGGTGTGTTAAATTGTAATTCATAGTGTCAAAGAAGATTTGATTTATTTTAGATTTAAATAGATTTGATTTAAGTCCAGAATCGATTTGATTTGATTTGATTTAGTAACAAAAAGATATTTTGGGCTTTGGGCTTAGGGTGTAAGCTCAGTTATAAATAGAGGGAGTAACTCCTATTTTTTAAAAGTAAGTCAAGCAAGTCATTCACAGTATTTTGCAGTTGCAAAGTGAATAGGAAAGTTTTCAGTTTGTGAGCAGAGAGAAACTCTGCAGAAATATTTGTCTTGTCTTCTTTTTTTTGTTTGTCTCATAATTAAATTGTCATTGTGGTAGAAATTCATCATAGAATTTGGTGAATTTCCAACAATATATACCATTTATTGGTATGTCAGCTCATGATTTAGGATAAATTATGAAGAATGTGTTGTATTTCTCAAACTGCTGTGAAACAATGTTAAGTGCTTACCGAAACATAATAACTTAAGTTTTATTGAACAATAAAGTAAAATCATACTACAATAACAACAAATATTAAGTGCTTACATTTCATCTCAACACTTTCTCAAAATGTTGTCAAGACCATATTAAGTGTTGACTTATAATTCATAAAGTTGCACCAAACATCAATGAGTTCATATTATTGATTTTAATACAGAAAATATTATTGTTTCTTCGTAAACTATGTCATTGGATCTCACTGTATGTATGCTGACAATCATAAACTATTATTGTTTCAATACATAACCAATTAATATTTACCAATACATAAACCTGTTACATGTATCACTACCATTTCTAATTGATTTTTTTATTAAATCATAGAATCACAGTATGGTGTATATATAAATCTCTAAATATGTCATTTGATCATATTATTGTCTCAAAAAGTTTTTAAAAAATTATAAAAGGTTTCATCATAGTATTGTGTAGAAAATTGTTAAAATGAATATGATATTTTTATAAACCTAAAAGTAAAGTATTTTTGTTAAAAATGTAATCATACCAGAATAAAAATCTATAATTAAAAAAAATATAATATCTAAGAGATCACCATCATCAAAAAAAAAGAAAAAGAATTGTTGTATCTATATACACACAATATAATTATCATTTATAACAAAATCAATGGATATCCTAAAAAATTAATATAATTATCATTTATAACAAAATCAATGGATATCCTAAAAAATTAATATAATTATCATTTATAACAAAATCAATGGATATCCTAAAAAATTAATATAATTATCATTGTGAAAAATATATCGAATCAAGATAATAATTTCAGTTATATGTCAATTGAGATAATAATTGTATATTGAATTCATTTCTTAAAAACCAAATATTATTAATAAATCTTTGTAAAATAAATGTCACTAAAAATTTCTAATTTAAAAAATAAATATATTTTTTATTGATAAATACATCTTAAACTGTAAAAATGGACACTATAAAATAGTTTACAATATGATTTAATTATCATAAAATTGTTCATTATGTGTATTAAATTATATTTATAGAAAATAATCATAAAATAAATCAAAGTTATGTTATAGATAACAATAATAAATTTAATTAGTGAATAAATAAATTTTCAATTAATAATAAAGTTTGAATTCAGTTTTATAACAATAAATTCTCAATCATAATATTCGTAGAGTATGATTGCAAAATGTAACCGATCAAGATAGTAACTTAACTTGAATGTATATTATGATAGTATTAATAATATGTATTTAGAAAATAAATAAACTTCGTTTTGATTGAAAAAAATATATGAAAAAAATCTATAAATTGATTATTAAATTTTTTATTAACAATGTATAACCGTTAAATTGTAAAACATAATCTTTTTTTAAATTTTATTTTGAGTAGGATGAAATGTATAAAATAAAATTAATTAGGCATACATCATCATAACAAGGAAACATATCAAGCTACAATTCATAAATCATAATTAGGTAACATATCGAGTCATCATTCATAAATTTAAACAAGGCAACATATCAAGATACTCAGTTACTCAAGTAATATGAAGATGAAGGTCACAAATCACGATTACTCAGTTACACAAGTCGTTAGATAATGGAAGAGGAGTGTGCGTCGGTATGGAGGAGGCTGGGCGACGGAAAATGAGAATTATGAGTGAGAGAGACTGAATGGAAAAAAAATGAAGAATTGTAAAAATTTAATTTTTATATTAAGTGTACCGGTTCTTTAATGGGTATCGGTCCGGATAGTGTATCGGGTAGTGAGAAATAAATTTTCCCAATTCTGATTCAAGTAGTATTTCGATCGGTCCTATAAACCGATTCTACTAGTCCGATTCTAAGTCCAAATCTCAATTTCCATATCCCATTAACAAGTTTACGGCCGGACACAGTCTAAATAGGCCCATATCAAAATCTTTCTTTTTGACATCATCTCCTCGCACGAATCTAGTATGTTTTAAAAAAATTTTTACACTAAAAAATTGAGATTTTTTCCCCAATATACCACATTTTTGAAATGAATTTCTCAAAATGCTACAGTCTGAAAAAAAATTGCTTAGAATGCCACACCCAGGGGGTTCACGTCATTTGAAATGACGCGAATGTGGGCAGCAAGGGCTTACGCCAAATCAAATGGCTTGAAATGCCTGATTAATTTTTTTTCTTCATTTTCTTGCATTTATGTTATTTATATTAATAATTTTAATTATTTAAGTTTATTATTAATTACAAATAATTTAATAAACTATTTAGTTATAAAATTAATTAATAAAATATTAATTTAAAAACTTAAATAATTATAAACTTAAAATAACTATTTAACAATTACAATTAAATAATATTTTTTTTTATTAAATAATAAAATATCACAATTACAATCAAAATACTAAATAAAAAATACAGTTAAAATTTCACAATTACACTATTTAATGTTGATGACCCGGTCCGAAACGAGTACCGTAAAACAATAACACGGTCGCGGAGCACGATGACCAAAACCATATTGTTGTTTGGTCTCTGTTGTTGGAGGATTTTGTTGTGTTGCATCTGATGTTGAAGGATTTTCTTGACTAGGAGCTGTAGCTTGCGGAGGAGACCAAATGCTTTCCAATAAATCATAATCACTAACGTTAAGATCCTCGCAAAAATTATATTGAGGTTGTTGTGGCGGACACATGGTTGGAAAATAAGGCGTTGTAGGGTTATGTTGGGAGGAGGAGGAATCGAAGTTTGGTCGCATGATGAGTGTGAATTGTGTAGTTGACCTATTACAAATTTGTGGTTGTTGGGATTCATAAATGTAATTTGGTTGGGAGTGAGATTACGGGTATTGGGTGTTAAAGGTTTGATTTTGGTAAAAATAAGGGGCGAAAGTTTGTAGTTGAGAAAAATGAGGGTTAAAAGTTTGTTGTTCAGGATAATGGGGGATGGGTGTTTGATGTTGGGAAAAGTGAGGAGTTTGTTGTTGGAAGGATTGGGGATGAGGAGGTTGAGAATGTTGTGAGTGGTGAGGTTGTTTAGAGCCACTTGCTGAGTAGGGGCATATTGATTTTGACGAGGGTCAGTGAGAAATTATTCGTACGATGCATATCTATGTGGAAGCGAGTGATACCATTACATGTACTCATTTGACGGGTTCTCCTCTATTTGTAATTGATCTTCATCCAACGTAAACAATTCTCGATGCAAGCAAAATTTTTGTTCATCAGAGTATAATGTGGTATATGCTTTTTGGCGCGCTTTTATTGTTGTCATCTTATGGTGTTCAGCCAGGCATCGAGGTTCTTCAGGTATCCCTTATAAATGGCCAAATTGTAGTTTGACCCTATCTGCTTGATGCATTTTTACAATATGAAAACATATTATATACGTAGTTGAACTCCATATCAAACTGTCATCGTGCCTTTGGGACGCTAATCCAAGATACGGCCTCAAAATAAACTGAAAAGTTATAGATAAAACTTCTTAGTTTAACCAAAATAAAATTCATAAATTTATAAGAAGTATTAAAGTGAAGACAAAAAAACATGATCTTGAAGCATGTGATCAATCCTGAATCGGTATCCTTGTAGATGGTGGCGCGGGTTGTTTTGGTAGTCAAGTTTCTTGATTCACCACCTAAAAAGAATTTAAAATTAAACTTTATTTTAAAGTATCATAACAATTTTAATTATAAATTTAAATTAAAATTAAAATATTACCTTCTTGCATAAGGATATGGAGCTTGAAGCGGAGCCGCCGGAGATATTATAGGCATGCGTGTAAAAGCCCAAGCTTAAAGAAGTAAAATGCATCCTGACATCTCTGTTACTTTTATGTCTACAGATTTGCATGTTTCCCTATATAGATTGGCTAAAACGGCGGAACCCCAACTCAATTTTCCACAATCTTCCAAATCCACAATAAATTGTGTCCATTTTGAGTGTATAATATTATCGCTTTCGTTAGGAAACAAAACTTTCCCGATAAGGAGTAAGATATAAGTACGAGCATGTTTAATTTTATACTTCTCAGGTGACTCCTCAGTTGGTGGTACATGTCTTTAAGCCATGTCAACCTCGCAGTCATTCTCTTATCACTTTGTGGTGGTTCATCCCCTAAAATAGAACTCCATGCACTACCACCTAGCTCGGATGAACCATTTACCGCTTTACCATCTACAGGAAGCCCCAATAACATACTCACATATTCTAATGTAATTGTGCATTCACCGTTTGTAAGATGAAATGTATGAGTTTCGGGTCTCCACCGTTCCAGTAAGACTATAATTAACCTTGAATCGATGTGTGTGGACTCTATTGTAGATACATGGTAGAAACCAGATTGGTGAAGGTAAGGGATTATGACTGCAAGTGGCTTTAGAGGTTTGTGAGCACGAATTCTCCATTTTGAAATATAAGTATCATCAATCTGTAATAGAAATAAGTAATATAGAAAAATATTCAACATTTCTATGCAAATTATGAATAAAATTAATATTGTAAACTCAAAAATAAATAATATGAATAATATTGAATAAATAAAAAATACTTACAACATTGATATTTTCTACTGTTCCCCTATGTTGTGTACCATACCAAAACATATTGGCCATAATTGTGAAAATTAAGAACTGATTGAAGACTTATCAAAAGAGAGTAGAGAGTGTGTAGTGAATAGAATGTAGTGTGTTTATGGAAAATAAGGTGAGAGTGATTGAGTATTTATAGGAAAAATGAGGTGAGTGTGATGATAGTTTGTTGGTAGTTGAATAATTTAATTAATTGTGGTTGATAGGTAGTAGAGTAATTTAATTAGAGTTGGTAAGTAGTAGAGTAATTTAATGAAAGTTGAATATATATAAATTTGTATACTTATTGAGAATATTGTAAATTACACGGTTTTGTACACAATGATAAAACTTCATTGGCTGATCTACTGAATCTGACATACAACTCAAATGGTGTTTTATTAACACCAATTCTAAAATCCTCAAACATGTTAAATACATCTGTATTTGTAACTAACTTTGTAATATGCTGCATCAACACTCCATTTTCGTTGATTGTAGCCCGGTTGAAAGATATCTCTGTAATGCTCCTATTAATATTTGTGATTTGACGTAATTGATTTTTCAAGTGAATGAGTTTAGATCTTTCCATAATCCGTACAACCAAAGGATTAGAAAATGCATTTCTATAATCAAACATAACAACTTGTGAATTATACGAATAATGTATACTGAGCAAAGTATCAGAGTCATTTTAATCTGAAAACAGAATCGTTTAATGTTGCATTTATATGCATGGCACGTATGCTATTCACGCCAGGCTGCAAGGCTTCACGCCATTTGATTTGGCGCATCCCAAGGATTCCTGCCATTTGACTTGGCGCGAGTATGCTATTCACGCCATTTGACCTGGCGTGAGTGTACGCAGACCAAGGCTTCACGCCATTTGACTTGGCGACAACATGCGGGCAATAAATCCAACAAATTGCTGTTTGTTTATTAATACATGCATGTAATAAATCCAACATAGTTGTCTCTTATTCAAACAATTGAATATTACTTCAAACACAATGCCACAAAATCATATTTCTTGTCTCTTACATTTCAATGGTAATATTTTTACCGACGAAAATATTGGAGTGGTCTTTCAAAATACGGATACACATATTTTAAATATTCATTGAAAAAGTGATTTAGCCCACTTGACGAAAAAAATAGAAGAAACTTTACAACATGTAACTTCTATTTTTTTTTTATCGATTTCCAATAGTTAATCTAGTTGATCACAATGTCACATACAACACTGCAAAAATCGAAGACGGTGAAGATGTTAGTTAAATGCTTCAATGCCACTCAAGGTTTTGCAGTCAACAAACAATGGAGTTGTATATTTATTTTCAACAAATGCATGAAGTATATCCAACACAATCATCACAAACTCATGCATATCAACAAAGTCAGGTCTCCCAACAAGAAGAGTCTGTCCAAGCACAACATAATGAGCCAATATTTCTGGAAGAGGAAGTGGGTGATGATACTGACTCCGACGATGCCAGACAAATTAATTTGTTTAGTGAGCCCAGTGACGAGTCAGGTGACGATGACAGACTGGAGGCAGAATTGGCTCCTATACTTGATCTATACAACCCACCTTATCACTTAAGAAATGTTTCATTTGAATGTGTGGAACCAATTTCAGTCTTTGAACCCTTACACGAACGTGAGTCACGTGATGACTTAAAGGTTGGTATGACGTTTGAAAACAAAGAAGCATGTCTCCATGAAATATCTGAGTATCACATAAAAAATTCTCATACTTTTAAGGTTTGTAAGTCTGATCCGACACGATATTTAATTAAATGTAAAAAGGAGGGATCCAACTTCACATGTAGGGGTTCGTTAAGGGAGGGGTGTGGTAAATGGGTTATTGGCAGAATTGGAGGGCCACACACTTGCATGTCGACTGCTATATCTCAAGATCACCAAAAGCTTACCTCAAAGATGATCGCCCATAATGTGACACCCCAAATTAATTCATGTGTTAAATAATTAGGAATTTAATTATTAAATTAATTAAAGGCTTAATTAATAATATTTTGGATTAAATGGATGAATTAATTATGGAATTAAAAAGGAAGACCGGAGGGGTGTAAGGTTGAATTAGAGGTGTGTGAAGTAAAAAGCTCTACTAAATAATAACTAATTTATTTCTATTATTTGGAAAATAATAAAAGGAATATAAAAAAGAAGGATAAAAAGGAAAAAGAAAAAGAAGGTTATTTGGAAAGAGGTCATTGTACGTGAAATTGGAGAAGAGAAGAGAAGAGAGGAAAAAGCCAAACGCCGTGAATTCGAAGGATCATCGCGAGGTAAGGGGTGATTTCAATTATTTAATATGCCTTATAGATTTTGAGATCAATAGAATTGATTAAGCAAGTTAGGAATCTCGATTTTTGGAATTCTAGGTTTGTGAGATTATCCCTAATTGTGTCAGAGTATAGGAATTGGAACCATTAATATGATGAATAATTAATAGGAGTGATGGAAACATGATTTATGATGTTGTATTGATGTGTATTGGTTGCATTTTGGTGTTCCAAATATTATAATTCGTATGAGTATGAATTGGATGGGATTGGAATGAATAATGGTGTCAAAATAGCAGATTTTGACTCTGCAGGTCGTGGGAACCGGTTCCCAGTGGGGAGGAACCAGGTTCCACTGTGTGAACGTACAAAAACTTGCAAAATTGGTCGCAGGAACCGGTTCCTGTATAGGTAGGAACCGGGTTCCAGTACATTTTCCAGAAACGTGAATTGTGAACTTCTCAGGAACCGGTTCCTGCATATGTAGGAACCGGGTTCTGCTGTAACTTTTTGAAAAATATTAAACTTTGAAAATTCATAACTTTTCAACCGTAAGTCCGATTTGAGTGCCGTTTTCGGAAGTATTTCTTAAATTAAAAATACTATCTTATAAAATAATAAAAAAATTATTTTATGAAAATTATTTTAAAAAGAGTCGAATTCCCGATTTTTGTAAACTTTGGTATTTTGAGAATGATGTAGAATTGTTTGTAAATTGTTCTGATTTGGTGAATGAGAACTGATACTTATGTGTTGTGCCTGCTATCCATTATGATTGATATGTGATCATGTGATATATTGGTTTTGGCATTATTTGGAATTATGTTGTGATCATATTCCGTTGATTTGATGTTGACTTTCCGATTATGCGGTTTGTTATTATGTGCATATTTGGTGTATATGCAATGGTGTATCCATGATAATTGATTGTATCAGGTCCTTGTGGATGAAGTGCATGTTTATGCTGTTTGATGTGTGTATGATAAATAATGATATCATGTTTCTTTTGGTTTTGGTTCAGTTATGATAAATTGATGTATTTCATAGATTGATTTGATATTGCATGCTGGTGATGTGCATGCATATGCATTTTTTTGGTGAAGTTAATTCTCATTGTGTGGAATTTGACTTGTATTGCCATTAACCGATACCCGGGTGATGATGGGTGGTTAGGCTGGATTCGTGTCCAGGTGTCTATGGACGATTTGATGGTTGTTGTATCCGGTTGATGATGGATCAGCTGGATTCATGTCCGGTGTTTATGGAAGAATCGATGGTTGCTGTATCCGGTTGATGATGGATCAGTGTTGGGTGACTTGGTCACGTGTCGGTACCACATGCATTGTGTCTGCATTTGTGTTTGCATGGAATTGTAACATGTTAGGATGTCTTCCAGTGTTACAATTCTTTGGTTGATTATTGATTTGTGCATAATGACTTGTATGATTGGAACTGTGTGTTGAATCTGAGTTTATGCTAAAATGGGTGAAATAATATGCTTGTGATATATTGTTGATTGAGAAGCTTATAATGCATGTTAATTATGAGAAATCTCACCCTTACTTTAATGATTTCAGATTAAAGTTAGCAGCTCAGGAGTTGGTGAGGATGGTTCTAGAGCTATGTTACTTTAAGTCCGCGTGTCAGTGTCATGCTCTGATAGGTTGTAACACTGGGGGAAACATTTGAATGATGAGTTTTATTTTATACTCTATTATGTAATTTATGTTGGGAATACTTATGAAGTGAGGTTATTCCGGTTTTGAGACATTTCCGCTGTGTAGAACATGATATTGATTTGAATATTTATCTTAATAATTCCTTCAGTAAAGCATGATAACTGTAGATTTGAGGTTTTTATATTTATCTTGAATTGTGACATCCCTGTTTTCCATGTTACTCTGATTTATTTAATATATTCGCGGGTTATTTAGAAAGGGTGTTACAACAGTCGTATCAGAGCAGGTCGGTCTATCGGCCAGGTTGTTTATGTGTTTACTCCCTTTTGGTATGCGACATGTGTGTGAAACACTGTCGGTACTTGATTGTTTCCTTTACGACGGAGGAGCACGATGGGGTCACATGACAACCAACCTTGCTGAATCTTTGAACTCAGTATTGAAGGAAACTCGAAACCTACCTATTACATCACTTGTAAGATCAACATACTACAGGATGGGAACATTGTGGGGTAAGCGAGGAAAGGATTGGACAAAAAGTTTGTCATCGGGAAAGGAATTCATAGATAACTGCATGAAAGGAATTGCAGAAGAAGTAGAAAAATCCCACAGTTATAATGTCTTGGCTTTTGACCGTGAAAGTCACTATTTCGTGGTTCAAGAGACAGTTAATAATAGGAGTTGTCGGTCACTTACTCATTTCAACGTCAACCTCCAAACACGAACTTGTGACTGTGGGAGATTTCAAACTTTTCATTTGCCTTGCTCACATGCTATCGCAGCGTGTTCTCACATTAACCACGACTATACTACGTTTATTCCTGACTTGCATAGAGTTATAAACGTCTTCAAAGTTTACATACAAAGTTTCCTCGGTGTTCCCCAAGAAGATAGCCGACCTCCATATTTGAGCGATACTATTTTGCATGATGAAAGGATGCGACAAAACAAAAAAGGTCGCCCAAACAGTACTCGCATTAGAACTGAAATGGACACTGTTGAGAAAATAAAAAGACGATGCGGTATTTGTCAACAACCACATATGCAGAAAAATATCCGCATCGCCTCAAAAATGTAGGCCCTTCTAACTAATTTTATCCGTATATTGTTATTTATAACTACTTTTAACTGTATTTTTTTATTTAGTATTTTGATTGTAATTGTGATATTTTATTATTTAATAAAAAAAATTATTATTTAATTGTAATTGTTAAATAGTTATTTTAAGTTTATAATTATTTAAGTTTTTAAATTAATATTTTATTAATTAATTTTATAACTAAATAGTTTATTAAATTATTTGTAATTAATAATAAAATTAAATAATTAAAATTCTTAATATAAATAACATAAATGCAAGAAAACGAGATAAAAAAATTAATCAAGCTTTTCACGCCATTTGATTTGGCGTGAGTCCTTGCTGCCCACATTCGCGTCATTTCAAATGGCGTGAATCCCTCATGGGTGTGGCATTCTGGGTAATTTTTTTGAGACCGTGACATTCTGAGAAATTCATTTAAAAAATGTGACATATTGGGAAAAAATTCAAAGATTGATGCTGTGTTTATATGTAATTTATATTTAATTCAAAGGTTCTTCATATTTATAAGTTAAAAATAATAATTAATTATAAAAATGAAATGTGAGTCAGGTATGAGTGACTAAAATTAAGCAATGTGAGGTCTCTCCTTAAACACAAAATTGGTGTAATACCAAATTCCTTTTTCTATCCCTTTCTCTATTAAACACAAAATCCAAAACCAAAATCTACAACCAAATTCATATCAACTCATCCTCCAAGACAATGTCCACAAAAAACACCTTCAACACCATCTTACGTTTCTTCTTATCATTTATATTCATATTCCATACAACAGCCACACCCTCTCCCACAGCCACACCCTCTCCCACACACATCCACGACATCCTCTCCGATTACGGTTTCCCAAAGGGCATCCTTCCCAACAACATCGCCCTCTACACCATCTCTCCATCTGGTTACTTCACCGCCCATCTCGAATCCCCCTGTTACGTTCACGTCTCCGATCGATTATTCTACTACCATACCCTCATCACCGGAACCCTCACTCACGGTACCCTTTCCGGCTTATCGGGGATCCAGACCAAGATGCTTTTCATCTGGCTCTCTGTCCATAAGATGGAAGCCGATTCACGCTCTTCCATGCTTGAATTCTCCATCGGAGCTTTGTCCAAGAAATTACCGGCGTACCAGTTTCAAAATGTCCCCGCGTGTTCTTCCGAGGCGGGTTGAGGATCTGAAAAGCCATATTTTGTGGATCTTACTACGTGAATGAACAGTTTTCACGCCTCTTGTTTCTTTTCTTCTTCCAATTTAAATTGTAAATAAATATGAATATTAATTACTATAGCAAATAATTAATATTTAATATTTAATAACCATTGTTAAAATTACAGTTGAAATAATGTTTCATTTATTACTTATTTTATGTCATTCTATATAATTTGTATGTCTTTGAAATAATTAGTTGATGCTGATCTAATATTGCTACTGCCATATAAGTTGATAAACTATACACACAATGTGAACTATACAAAATCTATCTATTACAATACTTACGTTAAAGTTGATCTAACTGTAAGTTTCTTTAGCCAAAATCATATAAGGTTGAATCATGAAAATATGAAAGTAATGGACGAGGGCATACGGAACCAAGAAACAAACAAAACCACCTACTATTTGAAGATTTTTTTAATTGTATGTTGATAATATCCGATAAATAATAATATTTCTACCACTCTTCCTCCTAGTCCTAATAGAGTGAATTTTTAGGATTAAACAAAATTTTGATGGATTTAATCTGAAGTATAAAACAAGGCTTGTGGCAAAAAGATTTCATCAAATTCAAGGCTTTGACTTTCATGACACCTGCCTGTAACAATCACTCAACTAGATGAATAATGCATTCTTGAATGGCTTATCGGTAGAAGAAATGTATATGCAGCAACCACCGTGATTTCTTGCCACTGACCCTTCTCTAGTTTGCAAACTCAACAAAGCCATTTATGATCTGAAGCAGATTATGATGTGAAGCAGATTTCCAAGATCTGGTTTGAAAGACTAATTTCTACACTTCACACCTTTAACTTCCTCACAAGTAAATATGGTTCATTTCTTTCACACTCAACAAATCTACTTGCATTATCATTATGCGTGTCTATATAGATGATATTATTATTATATGAAACTTTTCCAATCACATTAAAAAATTAATGTCTCAACTTAATACTCAAACCTTAACTACTTCTTAGGCATTAAAGTATTTCATATGTCTAATGAAAGTCACCTTTTCTCTCAAACCAAATACATTAAAGACTTCTTAGCCAACACTCTTAGCCAACACTAACATGAGTGAGACCAAGAGTCTTTCCACGTCTGTGGTCTATATTTTAAAATTTGTTGAGATATTAGATATAATCTAAGTTGAGTAATACAGACCTAAATCCAATTAGGGTTTGCTAGCCTACTTGATGTACAAGTTAGGTGTATATAAATAGACATAATTTGTAATTTGGTTTGTACAATTCAATTCAATAATAGAATCCTTATTTCTCTATTCTCTCTTTCTCCCCTCACTAAAAGTATCTCACGCACTAACAAATTGGTATCTAGAGCAACAATTAGATTCTTGATCGTGCTTTCAAGAATCACACATCATAGATCGTGTTTTCGTGATCGCGGGTTGTTGATAATCAATCACTACAAAGATGAAGGGTAACAATGTCACTCCAAATTCTCTTCCAACTTTTGACGGCAAGAAATGGCTTCGATGGAGAAAACAGATGCAATCCTTGTTCGACTTCCATGAAACCCTATAAGTGGTTAACAATGGTGTCTCTGAGCTTGTTGAAAATGCAATTGATACTCAGAAAGTCACGCATAAGGATGCGAGGAAGAAAGATTGCAAGGCGGCATTTTATACCCAATCGGTAGTTGACGCGGTGAATTTCGATAGAATCTCTCATGCTAAATCGACAAAGTAGGTATTGAATATTCTTGTCAAGTATTATGAAAGAGGTGAGAAAGTCAAGGTTGTCAAGTTGCAAATTTGCGACGATAATATGAATTGTTGTCGATGGGAGAAGACAAAAAGATTGCAGGCTAAGTGTCAAAGGTGCAGAACTCGTCCATCTCCTGAAGGGTTGTGGTGAAACCCAAACTGATAAGATGATAGTTGAGAAGGTAATACATGTGTTGACATCTCACTTTGATCGTGTTATCATAGATTCAAAAATTCAACACTCTTGAAACCCTAAAATTGGAAGATTTGGTTGGTTCATTGGAGGCGCATGAGATTAGGATTGTCGAAAGGAAAGGAGTGCAAGACTCGATACAAGCACCACAGGCTCAATCATGGAAAAAGAATGATGGTTCTAACAAATTCAAAGGCAAAATCGACAAGACTCAGGGCAAGAAGTCTTGGTCGAATCCTCACAAGAATAAGGTCGATGACATGACTTCTGAATCTTTGAAAAAAGGATAAGGAAATTCCTATCAGAAATAAAAAGAAGAGAAAAAAGGTGTGTATTGCTATAACTGTGAAAAGTGGGGTCACTTTGCCAAGCATTATTGGTACAGGAAAGACAAGGGATCGACAAAAGGCAATGACGAAGGATCAAACCTTGCACGTTAAAATTCAGATGATTTTGATGATATGATACTTATGGATGAAGTTACAGATAACCATATCAAATCCAAGATCTGGTTCCTCGACTCAGGCTGCTCGAATCAAATGACTAGTCGAAAGATGTGGTTAGAAAATTTCGACGAGTCAAAGAAGAGTAGGGCAAAACTTGCAGATAATAGCTCGTTCCAAGCAGAAGGTATTGGCAACATAGTTTTTCAAAGAAATAATGAAGTGAAAGCTATGATCAAAGATGTACTCTATGTACCTAGAATAAAGTGCAATCTGCTAAGTGTTGGATAATTGGTCGAAAAAGGTTTCTTAGTGGTTATGAAATATGGAGCTTTGGAACACTCTTCGACATTCAGAATAAAAGGACATTTAAGACCTTGATCAGTTCGACAAAGGTACAATGTTTGAAAACAGTTGTTGACCATAAGAATAGTTGGTTGTGGCATTTGAGGTTTGGCCATATGAACTTTAGGTAGCTCAATCAACCGGACACTCAAGATATGATAACATGTATACCAAGTCTTATGATGCCCGACTAACTCTGTGAAGGCTGCTTGGTAGGGAAACAATCCAAAAATTCTTTCGTTCAGCTATGCCAATGAGATCCTCCTGCATATTTGAAGTTGTACATTCAGATGTATGTGGCCAGTTGGAAGAACATACCTTTGGTGGAAACAGGTATTAAGTCTCATTTATCGATAAGTACAATAGAAAACTCTGGATCTATGTGATCAAGCGAAAGGACAAAATATTTGAAATATTTAAGAGATTCAAGATACTTATCAAAAGCCAGAGTGAGAAGAATATCAAAGTTATACAAATAGATGGAGGTGGCGAATACACGTCCAAATTATTTGAAGATTTGGATATAGCGAGATGCATGCTGAAACAAAAGAATTATTCAAAATCCTTATGGGGTGAAGATATTTCGATTGCAATTTATATTTTGAACATGTGCCCTAACAAGAAATTGAATAACAAGGTTCCTGATGAAGTATGGAGTTGAAAACAACCATCAGCGAGTCATCTGAAGGTGTTTGGCTCTATGTGTTACAAGCATGTTCCTGATACAAGAAAAATGAAGCTTGATGACAAGAGTGAACCTATGATTTTGATATGATATCATAAAACGGGTGCATACAGGCTATTAAATCCAATCAATGAGAAGATTGTGATAAGTTGAGACATTGTCATTGATGAAATTTTTTCCTGGGATTGGAATTCTGATGATGCAATTAACAAGCCATTGATGAGATATGGATTCGATGAAGAAATTGACGAAGTAGAAGTCAAATAAATTATCGGTATTCCAATCGAAGTTGAAGCATTTGTTGACATTACCAACACTCTCGAAGTTGATGAGGGTGTGGATAGCACAAGCCAAAGACCTCAAAGAACTAGCGGATTGCCAACACAGAGGAGTTAGTCGAATTGCCAGCACACACAAAAGCTATCGAAGTAAAATGGGTGTTCAAGTTGAAACACAATGCTAATGGGTCGATAATAAGACATAAGGCGATATTGTTAGCTCGAGGATTTCTTTATAGATCAGGACTCGACTACTATGAAGTATTTTCACCTGTCACGAGATTGGAGTTTGTTAGACTAGTGGTAGCCTTGGCATGCAAGCAAGGTTGGTCGACATTTCACTTAGATGTGAAGTCATCATTTTTGAATGGACCCTTAGAAGAAGAGGTCTATGTAACACAACCTCCTGGATTTGTGATTTTGAAGGAAGCAAGTAAGGTGTACAAGTTGCACAAAGCGCTATATAGCCTCAAATAGGCACCTAAGGCATGGAACAAGAAGATTGACTCATACTTAGTCGAATTGGGATTCGTCAAATGCAAATCTGAGTATGGTGTCTATGTTTAAGTCATGGCACAAAATATAACAATCATATGATTATATATCGATGACTTACTGGTAACTGGAAATAGTTTTGAGAACTTATCAAAGTTCAAAGAGCTGATGATGAGGGAGTTTGAAATGTTAGATCTGGGAAAATTGTCTTATTTCCTAGGCATGGAATTTCAAATGTCAAAGCAAGGAATGATATTACATCAAAGGAAGTATGTCAAAGAGATACTCGAGAGACTCGGGAAGGATGATTTGACTCCAACATCTTTGCTTGTCGAACCAAATTTGAAGTTGGAGAAGCATGGAGAGAAAGACAAAGTCGATGTAACTTTGTTTAAATAAAATGTTAGATCTCTGAGGTATGTATGCAACCGTAGAATTAATATAGGTTTCACAATTATATTAGTGAGCAGATACATGAGTGAACCAAAGGTGTCACACATGAAGGTTGCAAGAAGAATCATGAGATACTTAAAAGGATCGATAAACTCTAGAATTCTAGTTAGACAAGATTTTGAAAGCAAAGAAGCTACAGTTACTTGCTATTCATATGCTGATTAGTGTGGAGGTAAGGAAGATCAAAGAAGCACAACTGGTTATTTCTTTCAAGTCTTTGGTGCCCCAATCTCATGGTGCTCGAGAAAGCAACCAATGGAAGCATTGTTATCGTGTGAGGCTGAATATATAGCATGATCATATGTTGTGTGTCAAGAAATTTGGATCAAGTATGTGTTTG